TTGAAACCTCTAAGCTTGCCCCCAGAGGCATACTTCCTCTAGCAAGGCCACACCTCCTAAGCCTCCCCAAACAGGGCTGCCAACTGAAAACCAAGCATTCAAATGGCAGTCTTATGGGGAGGCATCTCGTTCAAACCACCACACTCATCTAATAGCTCAATAAGCAGAGTCATAGCAGAAAAGAGAAGATAGCCTTACAGTTTTCTCTTGTTTTGAGACAGGGTCTAATAGCCCAGGTGGGCCTGGAGCTGGCTGAGGCTAGGCATGATTTTGAAGTCCTGATTCTTCACCCCTGGAATCATAGGCCTATGTGCCTTCACTACCCCATTTTGGGCAGTACTGGGGATCAAACCCAGAGCCTCTGGTAGGCCAGGTGATCGTCTACCCACTGAGATACACCCCAGCCAAGATTCGAGTACGGAATACTCAGCATAGTCACTGTAGCACCAAGCTTCCTATCAGACAGGTTCCAGGAAACAGAATTATTTGAACAAAGGGACAAATGGAAGAAAACCCATGTGTAGATGGAGAATGGGGTGCTTATTCTCTGCATTACAAAGAAAGAATGGGGTCTGGGAACTGAACTTGGGTCCTCGCCAGAGTAGTTGATGCTCTTAACTGTGGAGCCATCTCTCCAGCCCCTGAAAAAAAGGAAACTTACCAAGGACTTTTTACAAACATGCATATCCAGCATTTTATATCACAGCCTCTGTAGGTGAGTTTTTCTGTCCCTCCTGCTTGCTCCCAAATAACTACATGGAGACTTCTTATTAATTATGAAAGCTTGGCCAATAGCTTAGGCTTGTTTTGTTTTTTTTTTTTTTTTTTTTTTTTTTTTTTTTGGTTTTTTGAGACAGGGTTTCCCTGTGTAGCTTTGCGCCTTTCCTGGAACTCACTTGGTAGCCCAGGCTGGCCTCGAACTCACAGAGATCCGCCTGGCTCTGCCTCCCAAGTGCTGGGATTAAAGGCGTGCGCCGCCGCCGCCGCCGCCGCCGCCGCCGCCGCCGCCGCCGCCGCCGCCGCCGCCGCCGCCGCCGCCGCCGGCGCCACCACCACCACCTCCCGGCCTAGCTTAGGCTTGTTACAAACTAGCTCTTACAACTTAAATGAACCCATTTCTATTAATTTGCTTTTTGTCTCATGTCTTTATTACCTCTACTCTATACTGCCCATTCTGCTTCCTCTCCATCTGGCTGGTCCTTCCCAGAGCCTCTCTGGCCCGCAAATCCTGCCTAGCTATTGACCATTTAGCTTTTTATTAAACCAATCTGAGTGACAAATCTTCACAGTGTATAAAAAGATTATTCCACAACAAGCATCAATAAAAATCTTATACTTATCACTTGTATGTTATCGTGAGGACAAAACATAGCAATAATTCAACAGAAGTGATGTAAAGTCTTATGGTGTAAAAAGCAGGTGGTGCCTCCTGAAGTCGTAAGATAGAAAAATATCCTTGAAATGACATGACACTAGCAACTACTAGAACCTTCCAGTCTTTCTTCTCCATTCAAAGACAACTTTCTGTGGGTGTCAGCCACCCCTAAATGTGCCTTTTGGTCCCTTCATTGTGTCTATGATTGTTACCAGATGGGGTCACAGCCTGGAGGTAGAATCATTCACCTGCCCTCAATGAACCGATTAAAAGAACCAAATTAAAGCAAAAATCAGAAAAAGGAGATTTATTCAATGTGGCCATTTTGGGAAAGGGAACAAATAGATCCAGCGAGCCCCACCCAAGTCTGCCTTCAGGGTCCTGAGGTTTAGGATTAGGTAGAGGTCAGAACTATACATAACTAAGCAGTCCTGGTCAAGATGTGTTGCTCCTGCACGGCAATGATTTATCACTGCTTTGGCTCTACACTCCCTCAAGGTAATCTGGAAACAGCATTCTCTCTCTTGGAGATGTTTCATCCAGGCTGGCCCTGGCTTTAGCCCTTTTCTTTTTTAGGCATGTGATGCCTGGGGGCACTCTAATTTGAGGTTAACACAAAAATACATCTCTCAACTCAGAGGAAGCAAGAGATAGATTCCTTTAGAGCTAAGATACACATGACCATGGTCCCTAGAACATAGCTTTAGGTCTTCCCAAATACAGTGTTCCAACATGAAAATAGTTTTTATGGGAACAAGACAAAGAAAGCCATAAATCAAGGAATTTTCAAAATATATTTGGTGTACACATCAGAGAGGTAGTTACAGCAAGATGGTAGAATCTCAACAGGCCTCAGGTCTTTTCTGATAATGCTCTTTGAAAAAAGAATTTTATTTTAGATTTATTTATTTTATGTGTATGAGTGTTTTGTCTGAATATGCACATGTATCACGTGACTCATGGTGTCAGGAGATGTCAGAAGAGGGTATCAAATCCCCTGGAGCTGGAGTTACAAACAGTCGTCAGTCACCCTGTGAGAGCTGGCAGCTAAGCTGCTGAGCCATCTTGAGCTATCTCTCCAGCCCTGAGATAGCATTCTTAGCTCTTCCAGTGGTGGAGGGGAGGGTTTTGCTAAGCTAATGCATTTTTATCTGTTTGTCAGGATGTTAGGGCTGATATAGGTAGGTAAGGCTAGCTGTTTGGTAGGCTAAAGATCACTCAAGATAAATTGTAATTTAGCCTTGAAACTTCAACTTTCCAAACTCCAATCCTGGAGCTTAAGGCGGTCAGCCCTTGTACACAGCTTCTATTTGGGAACTGTGGGTCACAGGTCTGTCGTTTCAATAGTCTGAGAGCTGAAGTGAGGGGACACAAGAGTTTCTGTAGGAAATCTTCATCCTTGCCAGACAGATGCACTATCATACCTGGTTTATGTAATGCCGGGAACTGAGTCCAGGGCTCTGTGCACACTGGGTAATTACTCTACCAGCCGAGCACATGCCCACTCTATGCATCTGCCTTTAATCTCACTAATAGGACAGACCAAGCTCCTTTTGAGCTTGCTGATCATTCCATCATCAACACTCAGGACTGCTCCCAGAAATGAGTGTGGATCCTCCCATCCAGAGGAACAGGTGTCCTGAAGAGGAAGGAGAGTACAGGGGGGTGTGGTCAAGCATAGCAAGGACACTATTGAAAGGCCACCTATGGGCTTAAAATAGCAAAATGGATTGATGGTGCCTGTGGATGCTAAATATCCAGGCTGGTTTATCGAAATTGCTTGTGTTCAGTAAAGGGGACCTGGGGGGCACTAAAGCCCCCTTGATGTCTCTCTCTCTGTGGCAAAACCACCTTCTGAGCCCATGTACCTGTGTGCTCTGGACATATTTTCTTTTCTGGGCTCTGCTCTTTCCCACAAGGGACTGGATGAAAGTTGTCAGACATCCTTGGCACTCTGAGGTGCCAATTCACCTTTGTGTCCCACCCCAGTGGCGACCTGCATGTGTCCACTTCAGACATCGATGCTTCTGTAAGGGTCTGATCAGAGCTAAGAATTATTGAAGATAAAGTGTTTGCAAACCACGGGAATACAGGCCTTATTGTTCTCTGTGACACTCCAGAGGCTGGAAACTTAGATATCTGTCTTCTGATGTGTTTTTGGTCGTCATTACTGGGAGCCAGAGGGTCACTGAGCAGAGTCTCCAGAGGGTCACTGAGCAGAGTCTCCAGAGGCTTTTTTAAGGAACACGACTCATGGGGTTGCACTTGGTGAGCAGCCTAGGTTGTTGTTTCCTCAGATCTATTTTTAGTTACAAGCAGGGACCCACGTGCATGTTTGGTAGGGACAAGACCTGTAGACTCTCGCCACAGGTAGTCCAAATCCACATTTCATGTATCATCCAAGTAGGAAACAACAGAAAGGTTGTTTTTAGCTTTCAGAAACATTAAAATTTTCATGATGGTAAAAGACAGCACATGACGGAGCGGTCTCTCAGTTCACTCTGCCTTTTGCTGTGAATTAAATGCATGTGTGCCTGTGGGACACCATCTCTTCAGCATCTGTAAGTCTGAAAAACCACCTTACGGAGTCCAGCTGACAGATACACTCTCTTAGGGATTTTTTTTTTTTTTTTTGCTAATAATAAATCACAAAGAAATTTATTTTAAGACAATTTGTTGGTATACATACAATTTTATCATTTAAAAAGACCAAAGTGAATTTGTATGTTAAATGAGAACATGCTTTTCTGTATTTTATGTTTATTTTATTTTGGCTTTTTGAGACAGGGTTTCTCTGTGTAGCCCTGGCTCTTCTGGAACTCTCTCTGTAGACCAGGCTGGCCTGGAACTCAGAGATCCACCTGCCTCGCAAGTGCTGGGATTAAAGGCGTGTGCGACCTCTGCCCAGGTATTTTTATTTTTAATTAAATTACAATTACAGCATTTCTCCCTTCCTTTTCCTCCATCCAACCCCTTCTGTGTTCCCCCCCACTCAAATTCATGTCTTTTTTCTTTATTGTTATTATTATATGTATACAAACACATGAATTTATCACTACAACCTACCGAGTTTGTTTAGTGTTACTTGTATATGATTTCAGGACTCACCACCTGGTATTGGATAACCAATTAGGGAGCTCGTCCCTGGGGAAGACACTCTCCTGCTCTTAGCTCTCCTTAGTTGCCTATAATTCTTTGTCTAGAGGTGGGGTGCCGTGGATTCCCCTTTCCCAGTCTGCATGCTAAAAGACATTTTTCTCCCAACCTTTAACATCAGCTATATGAACCCCAGCCTTCTCCGGGCAGATTCTTAAAATATCTGCCATCAGCAGCCTCTCAAAGGGGAATGTTAATTGTTACCGTGATGTCAAAGAGGCCCCAAGAGAAGGGCCTGGGCCAAACTCAGCCTGTCACTCTCTGGCAGTGGCTGAGTGGGAGATAGACAAAACAGACACACAGAAAACCTGGTCCTCTCAGTTCCCCAAACAGCCCAGGCAGCAGGGCAGGCTGGTGCTGTGCAGCAAGGTTCTTAACAGGTCGATGGTCTTCCAGACGACCACCTAAGTGAGAAGCAGGCCTGGGGTGCTTGTTTCCTTGCCTCTGCCCTTACCAAGCCGGAACTGGGATGTCAGGAGTTTCGGAGGAGGATCCCGAGGGTCTGGGCCCTCTGGGTCTGCCAGCGTTGAGCAGAGCTTGCTTAACCACCGTGGACAAAAAACTTAACGCGCTGAGTGAGAAGGTTGACAGACTCTTGCATTTCCAAGAAGATGTTACAGAGAAGCTTCAGTGTGTGTGCCGAGGCATGGACCACCTGGAACAAGGTCTTCATCGGCTGGAGGCCTCCCGGGAGTTTGGTCTGGCAGGGCCTGACATTTCTCCTCCGGCCACTGCTCAGGCTGCATGGCCTGAAGTCCTGGAACTGGTGAGGGCTGTGCGGCAGGAGGGTGCTCAGCATGGTGCCAGGCTCGAAGCCCTCTTCAAGATGGTGGTGGCTGTGGATAGGGCTATTGCTTTGGTAGGGACCACTTTCCAGCACTCAAAGGTGGGTGATGTCGTCACCCAAGGGAACGTGCCCTGGAGAAAAGGCAGCCTAGCTGACCGCCCTGAGGAGGTTGGTTCTGGATTCCCTGCCCTGGTTGGAGGGGGTTCCGGGACCCTGGTGGGGAGACTGGCCAGGAAATGAGTCTTAGAAGAACTGGGAACATTGTTTCCTCATCATGCATTCTGTGTCCTGTTGATGGGGAAATGAAAGATGGAAACTTAGGGATTATAGACAGATTTCCATGCAGTCCACTGATCCCCGCTCTCTCTAAAAAAGGATGAGGTAGTGAGTGGTCCAGTCAGAAGGTAGGTCCTTGGGCAACTCCTGGGCCACCTAGATGTGAGGGACAAACTAGCTGTGAGGAAGAGGAGGGTGTTGCACTTAACATTCCTGGGACTTCTCTGTCCCCTTTCTGTCCCTTTATACCTTAAATAAGAGACATGGTCAATTTACCCCACAGCCCTTACTCAACAACCCAACTCTCTCTGTCCCCTACACTTTGCTTTGTCCCAGAGTAGGCAAAGTGTGTAGCCGCCTGTGGGGAAATGAGTGTTGACAGTGACTCACGGGACAAGCAGAAGCCTGACCCTCCCCCAAGGTGAAAGATGGCATTTCTGGGAGTGGCTGTTCCCAAGGGTTGTATAATCACACCCTCTGGCTAATAGAAGCTTGCCCAATGGTCAAGGGTGTGTGTGTGTGTGTGTGTGTGTGTGTGTGTGTGTGTGTGTGTGTGTGTGTGTGTGTGTGTGTGTGTGTGTGTAGGGAACACCCTGTTTGAGAACAGCTGAGGACCAGCCACTTAGCAACACCAGATAGCCTGGAGCCACCATTTAAGATTCTGTGATTATCACTTGCCCCTGGCAGGGAATGGATTGGGGTCTAATGAGGTCTGTGCTTGAAGAGGATGCCTTCCTTCCCAGCCCAGCAGGTCCTCAGCCACCCAGCTGTTCCTCTTCTCCCTGTCTGAAGCTCCTTCCTCCTGGAGCACACCTCTCCCTCCGCTTCCTGATCCCTGCTCTGCAGCCCTGGAAATCCTGGCCTGCAGAGAAAATGGGACACATGGCTCTGGCTACTGATAACCAGCCTGGATTTTGTGAAAGAAAAGGAATCTAATTACACTCCTAAAATAAATCGAATTAATGGACTTAAAAAGAAAATTAAACTAAAATCTAAAATGCTTTTAATTTGATAATTTAACATGATAAAAGAAAAATATTTTTGCTATAGGAGGCCCTAGGTTTAATCCCCAACACCAAAGTGAGTGTGTGTGTGTGTGGGGGGGGGCGGGAGGCGGGAATCAAGCAATTATAAATTCAAGAAAAACTCATGAAAATCGTCTCCTTCCAGTTCCACCCCCGGGTCCCCAGGAGACTCAGTTTCCAGGTTCCTATGAGCTATCCAGGTAAAGGTTTTGCAACTAAAAGCACATTATGTGGGCAAAGCCTAGCCAGCCTTTTAAAAATGTCATTTAAGGGGAGGTGTAGCAACACTTGCCTGCAGGATGATGAGGAGCTTAGGGCCAGCCTGGGCTATATGGGGCCTTGTCTAAAAAAATAAAAGGTCATTCCAGGGGCTGTGGGTGGAGGTTCATTATGACTTCAGTAAAGAAATTTCTCCTTGGTTTTCTGAGTGTAGGGAGTGAATTCTACCCCCTCCTGGGGGATATTTCTGCTACAAGATAATAACTATTTACATAGCACATTACATTAGGAACTATACTATACAGTGTATAATGTACAGAGGATTTGAAGTCCACAGGAATATCGAGGCTGGAGGCAAACACTAAGTCTCCTGTGTGTCCTGGATGCTATGGGGTGAATGTTCTTGAAGAAGTTGTTTTGTTTTGCTTATGATTTTGAAGTTTATCGTATTGAAATATTAAAAATGCACATGAGATCCCATTTCCTATCCATCAGAATGAAAAGAGTAGTGGAAGAGGATTAAAATGTTGGATAATGTGCTCTTTAGAGGCAGTGGTCTCACATTTATATAAGGCAGAGAACTAAGTTGGAATGAGTGGTGTTGCTCAATGGGGACTCTTACCCAGCATACCCGAGGCCCACGTTTCAAACCCAGCACTACAGTAAACAAACAACAAGAAGAATTTAGCATTTGTGTCTAAAAGACAAGGGCTACCTCAGACACACAATCATATCGCTGTTAGAGTATCCCCGAAGTAAACAGCTTTGCTACTATTTGAAGTTAGTATTCAAGCATCCCCGAATGTCTTAAACTTCTTAAAATTCTTACAGTTTTCTTATTAAATCAGACCTAAATGAAACAATTGGTGATGTCTTATAAAGCTAATTCATCTTTTGAACTCATAAAAATCTGTCTTTTTAATAAGGAAAGCCTCAAACATAACCACAAGCAGACAGAATGACATATTCTAAAGCTTTGACGTCTTTCACTAAAGGATGGAGCATTGTTTAAAACCTTTTTGCATTTTCGGTGAACGACCTGTTCACAAACTTTCCTCCTCTTTCCTATTTCATTCCCTTCCTTTCCTTATTTATTGATAAGAGTTGTTTGTGGGATAGTGGGACTAACTGATACCCGTGTTGTTATATATAGGCATCGCAGAGTGGGGAAGTCAGAGACTGTCATTTCATTCTTGCATGATTCCCTGTCTTCGCGGCCCCACTGCATCTCCCTCTGGTTTTGTGCTTAATTCATGTATCATTGACGGTCTGCTGTGTTGGGTCCTGTCTTTCCATTACATTGTCAATTGTTAATTGGATCATGACATGCTTCTGCTGTCAGGGATGAACTTGGAGTTCAGAGAACTCTGTGAACTGAGGTGGGAGTAAAGCTTAATGTCCTTGGTCTTGCAAGATGGTTCAGTGGGTAAAGACGTTTGCTGCAAAGTCTGAAAGCCTGAGTTAAAAACCAGTGGCAGAAGGAGGGGAATGAATTCCTGCAAGTTGTCATGTGATCTCCAAGGGTGGGGCTCATGCTTACACACACACACACACACACACACACACACACACTGAATGAATGAATGAATGAATGAATGGATGAATGAATGAATGAATGCAATACTTGATGCTCTGGGACCACAAAGGAGTAAGAAGGGAACAGGACTGAGAAGTGAGTGAAGCAAAGGAAAACTGGAGGGGAGTTTGGGAGATGGGAGGACTTTGGGGAACTGCCCTGGAGGATGAACCAAGGATTCAGGCCAGGAATGGAAAAACAAACTCTACCCTAAGTCAGATCAACATTCAAACTGCTATGGTTCTGGTTGAGATTGAATTTTGAAGTCAAATCATGCTTGGGGGATGGGACACCCCAGTCAGTGTCTAACCCCAGCCTGGGAACCGGGTGGGGACCACACTTCAGCCTTCCCAGTGCAGCAGTGTGGCAGGGACCTGGCCTCTCAGTCAAACTTGCTGCTTTGAACTCTGCTCTCAGCACCTGGACGACCCTCCGCTTCACTGCTTCTCACTTTCTCTCTGTGAACCAGGAATCATCCCATTAGTAAATATTATCTACCTCAAAGAGTGGACAGGAACCGGGAATCATCCCATTATTAGTAAATACTATCTGCCTCAAAGAGTGGGCACTAATCTGTGAAATGTTTCAAAAGTGTGTCCAGCACACCAAGTTAACCAACAGCTACAGCTATTTTGAAACAGTGACCAGTGTCAAGGAGCCACTGTGTAAGGATGCTGAACACTGGTCCAGAGACATGCCGGGCAATTCTCCTTTAAACCTAAAAGGTCTGCTAGAGACCAGGGCCTGATAGACATGCTCAGAGCCCTATACTGGTCCTGATCACTCTGTGAGTGTCAGGGGGCTCTCCAGAAAAGGTTTCCATCTCTTGCTGGGACCCTCAGGGGTTTTGAACCTTGAACCTTTGACCAGTGTAGTCCCAAATGTGGCTCCTGGTGTTAAGTCACAGAAATAGCTCTGGTTAATATACCCTTGGTCCCCTGTACACCAGGGGACATGATTCACCAGTCACAGGCCTCTCTCCGACCCCAGTCACAGAGTTCCTTAATGGGGAGCCCAGAGATAAAAACAGCTGAAGACACATTTTGTCTGCAGCATTAAAAAGATTTTAATTGATTTCCAACACTGAAGATTTAAATCTTTGGATTAAAACTCTAGGGATCCCTTTGAGGGTAGCAGAACTGTCCTATATCTTGTACATTTGTTGATTTGGTATGGTGGTGCACATCTTTAAGCTCAGTACTCAGGAGGCAGAAGCAGGAGGATTTCTGTGAGTCTGGTCTTTAGAAGGAGTTCTAGATCAGTCAGGGCTACATGGTGAGACACTGTCTCACAAAAAGGTTTATACTTCGTATGTGTAATTTATTGTATACAAATGATGATTTAATAAATTATTTTTTATTTAATTTTACACTTTAATAAGTCTGATTTAAACAAAAATCTAATTCCAGTCTCTCTTGTAAAACAAAGAAGATCTGGCAACTCTAGGCCCAAATGATAAAGCTCAGGTGGAGGCGTTCCTCAGCTCCCAGGCTGAAGTTAGCCATTGACTGTGGTGCCCCATCCCCTAATCATGGATTTGACTTTGGAATCCACTCTCAACCAGAACTATAGCAGCATGAATAGTAGAGCTGAGTTGATGATTTAGGATCGAGCTGTTTTTCCCATTCCTGGCCTAAGAGCCTTGTACTGCAGTGTGTTTAAAACCTTCTCTTAGGAGGCCCAGCGCCCTAGCTGTTCAGTGAAGCACTGGGAAGGATGTGGGTTCTGGGTTTGAGACTAGGCTCATCTGAACTCAGTGTCTTTATTCCCAAAGTGATAGTACTGTGCATCCCCTAACACTGCTGTGGATCATCTGAAATAAACCAACTACATCGAAGTGTGTGGTAGGTAGTTCATGGATGTCTGAATGATGTGTTTTTATGTGGTTATTTCAGAACAAGGAACAAGCAGAAATTACGGGAGTAAAGTCGAAGCATGTGCTGAGCCCCCGAGGTGAGCAAGCTGATCTCCCCAGGAGGCTGTGGGAAGGTGAGCTGCTGCTTGTTTGTTTCTACTGCACACGCAAGGGTTCAGAATCAAGTACCAAGTGGCATGGTTGTTTTAGTTTTGTTTGGCTTTTTCAGACAGGATCTCATGTAGCCCAGGCTGGTCTCAAACTCCACCATGTAGCTGAGATGACCTTGAACTTCTGGTCCTCCTGCCTCCATCTCCAGAGTGCCGGAACTAAGGGCATGGTGTTGGCATGGTGGTGCACACCTTTAATCCTGGCACACAGAAGGCAGAGGTAGGCAGATCTCTGTGAGTTTCAGGCCAGCCAGGGCTACACAGTGAGACCCTGTCTCAAGAAGACAAATTTTTTTTTGAATAATGTTTTTAGGGATCTAAGGTCAGATTGACAAAACAAGGTATGCTAAGAGAAGTCTGGCTATGTCCTTCCTCCCTAAGGTCTTTATTTGTGATCATTTAAAAGGTTCTTATCTTGTCTGCCAGGTCCAGTCTATGCAAAGCACTTGTAAATTGTTATATATTTACACATGTGCACACTCACAAACACCCTCCCTTCTTCTCTCAGTGTGTATTGGTCTGCATGTGTCTGTGCACCACTTGTGTGCACATTGTCTGTGGTGACCAGAAGAGGGCATTAGATGTCCTGGAACTGGGGTTACAGACAATTGTGAGCTACCTTGTAGGTGCTGGGGATCAAACCTGGATCCCCTGGAAGAGCAGGCAGTGCCTTTAACTGGTGAGCGACCTCTCAAGCCCCTATTTTCTCATTTTAAAAATGGCTGTACAACACTCCATTGGGTGACTATTCTGTCACCCAGACACATCTCCCATGTGTGGGTTATGTCCAGTTTTGGCTTTTATCGATGTGGTATATGGAATGACACATATATGCCCGTCTTTCCTTTGTGATCCATTTCTCTTAGAGTGCATTTCACCCCTCCTGTTACCTTCTAGAGAGCCAGAAGGAGGACGGACCAGTGGGGAGAGTGGAGAGGCTGCCTCTCATCATCAATACTTCACTGAAGGGAGCTGACTGCACCCAGGCAGGAGCCTCACCGAGGCAGGGAGTTGAAGTTCTTGGGCCAGGCCAAGTAGCCCCACCCACAGAAGCAGAATCCAGGCTTCCCGAAACATCCATTGAGAATACTGGGACGACCCTGGAATTGTCTGTAGCACTGGACAGAATCAGCGAGGTCCTCACCAGCCTCAAGATGTCACAAAGTGCGGGACAAGGAAACTCATCCAGCAAGTCCGACTGTTGGCTCTCAGAAGAGGGCATGAGACTGAGTTCAGGGCCTAGCTCTCAGCCCTTAGGGCCACTGACTCCAGCCAGTGAAGTTCACAGTGGTGAAGCACTCCCCAGGTAAGGGATGCTCTTCTGTGTTGGCCATGGGTGGAATTAGCTGCACCCCTTGACATGCAGCACGGCCAGTGGGCCAGTGGCACATGCTGGGTGACTGCTGCATATATAGAGCTGCTCTAGACTCAAAGGGGAAGGTCTTATGTTTGGGATCCTGGGGGTACTGGAATCTTCCTGGCCATGAAAATTACCTGGAGATAGGGAGTGGGGTTTAAAAAGAAATATCCATGCCCAGAGATTCTGATTCCTTTGGTCTGGAGTGATTCTCAGGTACCATTCTTGGATTTTTGTTTTTCATTCTAATGGGGAATAGGGTTGAGAATGACTAACTTTTAGATAAATAGTTACTTCAGCAAATGGGTTTCACAGAGCACTCTGTCACATGCCAAGCACTGGTATAGACTTCTGCAGCCATCTCATTTTATTCTCCCAGTATTCCCGGCATGTGAAGTTGGTTGTCATATTATTTTACCGGTGGTGAAATTTGGGCCGAGTGCTACCATCACACAAAGCTACCAAATCTATGTGCTTAACCACACACCTACTCCCTTGGGCCAGCATTATAAGTCCCAAACAATATGGTGATGAAGAAGGGTGGGGCAGACAGGTGGAGTCATTCTAGGGACTTTTGGGAGATTTATGTCCGACGTTCTGGAGAGGCAGTGATGCCTGGGACATAGCTTTGGGAGCTGTGCTCAGTAGAAACTGTAGAAAAGAGAGCTGGCTGGCTGTATCCAGTCTGTATTCAGTGTCATGGTGCAGCCCTGCTGTATCGTATCGGCACAGACTCTGAGGGACCTGCCTTTCTAGGCTTTTCTCAGTTACTTGATGCTGGCCTCTCCTGCCCCAACTCCCTTAACCTATTGCAAAGACCACAAGACCTGACGCTGGGAGATTATCTAGCCTCTTTTTGCTGTGGTGATGGGTTCTGGAAGGAAATGGGACCCCACCGGCACCCCACACACTCTGACCCAGGGGCCTTGACAGGCTGGAAGGAGGGATACCTGGTAGATGTGCTTGGATCTAGGCCAAAGCTCTGAATGTAGCGACCATGGTAGGCATGAACTTCCTGTAAGGTGTTAGGGATCCCTAAAAACCTCTCAGTGAGGAGCACTGTCCACCCCAGTCATAGCCCTGTGCTGAATTTCAGACACATCAGACTAGAAGCAGGTCTCCGGAAGTGGGGAGGTCACCACCTGCCCTTCCCCACCTAGAATGTGTTTTTTGAGGAAAGTAGATTGAAAATTAAGTGTTAGTTCTGACCAGAAGGGACTGCTTGTATGGGTATCCTGAGACCATTCCTGAACTTGGCAGCATGGAGCTTGTGGTTAATTGGCAATGTCTGTGGTAGGCGTGCTATGTGGTAGGTAAGGAAGCTCTGGACACCAAACACGACACAGAGCTGCGTGACACTGGGGTCACCTCCTACCCCACTGGAAGAGAAGGCCAGAGAGGGCAGAAGTGGCCAATGGCCTTTTCCATTGACCACCTGGATACTCCTCCAGCAATTGACTTGTCAAGTTTTGTGGACCCTTTGGTCTGAGGTAGGCTCATGTGACTCAGCTTGGATATCACCTTTCATCCACTGTGGTCACTGATGCCTGTCTAGGCCCAAGCACTCCTGCCAGTGCTTAACTGTAGACAGTCTGCCAGGTCTCTCAACTGCACCACTTAGGGCAGCTTCTGTTCTCAAAAGCCTAAACCTCAGAGAGCAGCCTAGGCTTTCAGCTGCTGGAGGAAGGTCTTGTATTCTTCTTTGTTCTCGTTATTATGACAAATGACGTAACATAGAATTTACCATCCATCTTAGTCTGTTGAAAGGACGATAAACAGCGCTGTTGGCGGCACTGGTTACTGCATGGAAAGGTCACAAGCACGACAGAACCCAGTGTTAGTTTTTAGAGCTTTATTAGGAGGGAAAAGGAGGGGGGAGGAAAGCCAGTCCTGGAGAGAGAGAAAGATGGTGATGGTGGGGAGCAGAGCAGAGCAGAGAGAGAGCAGAGAGAGCATGGGGTCTGTGTCCATCTTTTTAAGGTACGTACCTAGTCATCAGCGCACACTGATGACGTAAGACGCAAGACCTTTTGCTTAACTCCTGAACTGCTCATGTGCGGTCACAAGCTAGAGTAAGGGCAGGATCCTAATGTACGTGTGTGTGTGTGTGTGTGTGTGTGTGTGTGTGTGTGTGTGTGTGTGTTGTTTAGCTGGGGGTGGAACTAAGGGCATTGTGTATGCTAGATGAAGGCTCTACCATTTCACCCCGGCCCATCTTAACCATTTTTTATTTCTTCTTAAAAATCTGAAAGAGCCATATTTGTGTTTATTTTTGTAAACATTTTTAAACAAAGATGTATTTCTTTATCTATTTGTTTATGTGTATACATGTCTATGAGAGCATGCACACTTATATTTGCAGGTATATGTGCCCATGTGCATGATGTCAGAAGAAGGCATCAAGGATCTTCCTCTACTTCTTTCTGTCTGTTCTTTTGTGGCAGACTCTGTCCTTGAGTCTAGGGCTCATGGGGTATTTTGTTGTCATTGTTGTTTGTTTTTTGTTTTTGTTGTTGTTTTATTCTTGCTCGGCTGGACGCCCCAGTCATCCTGTCTCTCCCCCTGTCACAGCTGCAGTTATAAACTCATGAGATGCCCAGATTGTTATATGGGTGCTGTAAGATTTGAACTCCAGTCTTTGATTGGCAGCCATTTCTCCAACCCCAACATTTTCAGAGCTTCAAAGTTGGAGGCTAATGTTCCACAAGAGGATAAATGAAGAACTAAAATATTGTTACTCTTTACTTATGATTTTATATCATGTACACTACAAACTTAAATTTTTATCTTCCATAGCGCATTAAAGATTATTAGTGAAGGGGGAACAATGTAACTATATTTTAATTAAATAAAAATAAAGCAATCATGCCTAATGTTGCACAAATGATGGCTAGAAAACATAATTTAGGCTGAGCGTTGGTGGCGCACGCCTTTAATCCCAGCACTCGGGAGGCAGAGCCAGGAGGATCTCTGTGAGTTTGAGGCCAGCCTGGACTACAGAGTAAGTTACAGAAAAGGCACAAAGCTACACAGAGAAACCCTGTCTCGAAAAACCAAACCCTCCCCCCCAAAAAAAACCAAAAAACATAGTTTAGTATCTTATTATCACAAATACTATAATATGAATGCTATTGAAGCAATTTTGTCATTTGTATTTGTAAATCTCTAAGTATTTGTTTTATTTTTACTAGCACTTTTAAACTCTTAACAAATCCTTTCATCAGTTGGCTTAAAAAAAAAAAAGACAAAATTATTAGGACACTGGACTACCATGATGGAGAGATATTCTGTAGAACACACAGTTCTGACAAGGCAGTGATTGAAGCCAGGAACTTGCACATGCTAAATGTCTTAGTTTGCTTTCTGTTGCTGTGATAAAACGCTGTGACCAAAAGCATCTTAGGGAAGAAAGCTTTATTTGACTTATAGGTTATAGTCTATCATCAAGGGAAGCCAAGGCAGGGACCTGGAGGCCATGAGGTTTGCTCCTCATGGCTTGCTCAGCTCTCTTTCCTTTTTCTCTTAATTAATTTATTTATTCTTTGTTCATATAGTACATCCTGATTGCATTTTCTCCTCCCTCCTCTCTTCCCAGTCCATCTCCCCACCACCCTTCTTCACCAGATCCACTTCTCCTCCATTTCCCTTCAGAAAAGAGCAGGCCTCCCAGGGATATCAACCAAACATGGCATAACCAGTTGCAATAAGACGAGGCATAAACCCTTAATATTAAGGCTGGATGAGGAACCCGGTAGGAGGAAAAGGGTCCCAAAAGCAGACAAAAGAGTCAGAGACAGCTCCTGCTCTCACAGTTAGGAGTCTCACAAGCACACCAAGCTATATAACCATAAGGTATATGCACAGGGCCTAGGTCAGACCATGCAAGCTCCCTGATCATCCCTTCAGTTGCTATGAGCCCCTAGGAGCCCTGCTTAATTGATTCTGTGGTCCATATTCTTGTGGTGTCCTTGACCTCTCTGGATCCTACAATCCTTCCTCCCCCTCTTCTGCAGGATTCTCTGAGCTCTGCCTAATGTATGGACTGAGGGTCTCTGCAGCTCCGCTACCTTTTTCTTATATAGCCCAGGCCCATCTGTCTGGACAGAGGGCTGACTATAATAGGCTAGGCCCTCACACATCAATTAGCAATTAAGAAAATGCTCCCTTGATATGGACACAGGCCAGTTTGATCTGGACAATCCTTCAGTTGGGGGTTTCCTATTTCCAGGTGACTCGAAGTTTGTGTCAAGCTGAAGCTAACTATGACACTAAGCAATGCTTTGCTGCTGAGTTTCATCCCCTAAAATTCCTTGTTCGGAACCTCAGGGCCATATTTCTCTCTGCCCAGGATCTCTAGCCATGTGCAAGAGATGGATACTGCTGGGGAGCTGCTTGAGACACAAAGGGGCATTCCCATGGCCTCTGCAGAAGCACCAGCAGTTACCCAGCCTGATGAGCAGGACCCACATCCCAAAGGCCCTGGAACTGAGCTGGAAGAGCAGATCCCTAAGGGAGCCAGACCATCTCTACCCCTGCCAAAGAGGGGTAGCGACAATGGAGGAGTGAGCACAGAGGAGGAGGAGGGGCCTGGGGCTGAGCCTCTCACAGGACCAAGCTTGGCCACAAGGGACTGTGGAAATGAGGCTGTTGGGACCACAGGCCTGCAGCAAGACACAGGCCCAGGAGCAGGGAAGCCTGAGCCTGGGAAGGACCCTGCAGTCAAGGGCTCAGGGGGAACAGAAGCTGGAAGGAGGATGCCTGCTCCTGCAGAGGCTGCCATCATGGTTCTCGGTAAGTGGGGCCGTGGCTCAGCTCAAAATGGCCTTGAGGTGAGTGGCTGGGAGCCTTCCTACACCTTCCATAGATTATATGGTTCTGAGGAAGCCTAAGGTTCTGGAGAGTTAAGTCCTGGTGCTAGAGTCCAAGATACAGAAATGTGAAGGATTAGACTCAGGTCTTGAAACGGCTTTGATGGTTGTGAAGTGGGAACCTCTGGGGGCCAACTGGGTAGATTTCTCAAAGCGACTTCCCCGCCTGAGGGTTCCACCACTGGCACCATTTTAAATGAGAGCAGACAAGAATGCAAAAAACACAAGGGCTAGGGATGTAGCTCAGTTGCTGGGGTGTTTGCCTAGTATGCGTAAAGCAGAAGCCCTGGGTTTGATCCCCAATGTTGCATAAAACCGAATGTGGTATGGCACGTCTCCAATCCAAGCATGTGGGAAATGGAGGCGCAAGGATAAGTTCAAGGTGGTCCATAGCTACATAATGAGTTTGAGGTCAGCCTAGATTCCATAGGATGCTCTCCCCTCAGAGAGGGGGTGGAGAAGAAAAGAAAAACAGAGAAAAGACACTGACTGATATGTGTAAGACACAGTGAGCCATTTCCACTGCCATTTGCAATGGGGTGGAAGTGGTGAGATTTTGACCTACTTGTCATTCCTGAGGGGTGTTAGGTGTCTCTGTGTTCTTCTGCCACAAAGACCTTCAGCTCCAACAGTTCAGGAGTCTCCCTCCTGGTGGGAGAATTGTCTGCGGAGCACTCTCTACACTCAGGGAACACGCAGGATGCTTCAGGACAGGCGAGAACAGCCAATGAATGGCCCAGCCTCAGCGTCTTCCAGCCGTTTGTGCAAAAAACGCTTTGTAGTGTTGTGACTGTTGCATGTTTCCTTTTTAAAAAAATAATTTCATGTGACGTTTCTAGGTGTCATTATATTACCCAATTAAACATTCACATTACCCAATTAAAATGAATACCGAGGGCCAGTTCAGCAGGTAAAGGCATTTGCTGCCAAGCCTGAGTTCAGTTCCTGGGACCCGTATGGTGAAAGCTGAACCAACTCCTGAAAATTATCCTCTGGCCTCCATGTGTACGTGTGTGCCATAGCATGTGCGCGCACGCACGTGCACACACACACACACACACACACACACACACAAACACACACACACACACACACACACACACACAGAGAGAGAGAGAGAGAGAGAGAGAGAGAGAGAGAGAGAGTAATAAAATTAAAAAGAAAAAAAATCAATCCTAAATGTCTTTCCCCACTGTCTTCCCAAGTGCTAGCTGCCCTTAGCTTCCCTTCTAGATCCATTATCCCTCCTCAGCAACCCATGCCCTAAGAGATGCTCACCGTGGGCTCCACCACAGGCTCTCTTGTCCTCTGGGATCTAGTTGAGACCAACTATCAGGGTAAAGGCTGAGCAGTGAGGATGGTGTGTTTGTTTTTCTAGCTGTCTCCCTTTCACACTCCCCTGACTAGTTCCCATAGCCCCGTTGCCTTTGAACACAGCCGCCTCATGAAAATGTAGCGTGCTCAGCTTCCTCTCCTGCCAAATGTGTAGCTCCAATGGGGTGACTCTAGAGACAGGGCTCTGATGTGGGGGGCTGTAAGAAGGGCAGTGAGCTTGCCACCTGGTAATCCAAGTGACGTTTAGTGGGTTTAGGAGGGGAGGGTACTTGTAGGAGACTCATGGGTTCTCTGTCGTCTCTCTACAGATGACAGTGCAGCACCCCCAGCCCCTTTTGAACATCGGGTAGTGAGTGTCAAGGATACCTCGATCTCAGCAGGCTACACAGTGTCCCAACACGAAGTCTTGGGAGGGTAAGTGCAGCCTCCACCTGGGTGAGGGGCAGGGACTGGAGCATGGAGGCTGACCTGCACAGAGAATGAGCAGAGGTCTCCCCGGGATGCAGGTGGCTGTGCAGATGAGGGAGGAGAGGTGTAGGAGACTCTCAGAGTAGGACAAGGGAAACATTCCCGAGGCAGCAGGAGTGCCGGGCATGGGTGCGGTAAGGAGGCTGGCATGATGTAGAATGGATATTCCCATATCCAGAACAGACCATGGTAAGGTCAGGAGGTTTTCCCCTAGGTTACAGAGATGATCGTATGATTGTGAGTGGTGAAGATGTGATTTTCTAGACTTCGGGTTAACCCAGGGGTGAGTGATGACTAAGACAATAGCCTGAGGTGTAGGACAGTCCACATGGTGTGCATGAGGAGAGAAACAGTGACGCTCATGAGTTTGGTAGGCTTTTCATATTCTCAGCTTCCTGTGTCCCTGTGTCTCTGTAGGGGCCGGTTTGGCCAAGTGCACAGATGTACAGAGAGGTCCACAGGCCTTGCACTGGCAGCCAAGATCATCAAAGTGAAGAACATTAAAGACCGGGTAAGACATGTGCCCCAGGCCAGCCAGATCCTCTAGCCAAGACTCAGAAGCTTCCATTTCCTCCCTAGCAACCTGCCCCAGCCCCCTCCATTCCAAGCAGGAACCTTGATGTATTCCCTCCCTCTTTACCTTGGCTCTCACACATCAGTCACTCAGTCAGCCACATTCCTTACTCCAGACCTCATTGATGTGGATGGCCTGGCATGGCTCTGCCAACATGCTTGCAGGACCTTGGACACCAAGGGCTCTTCCTTCTTGGGCCTCCTGTCTGTGGTGTGAGTGGATGGATTGAACCAAGGTCCCTTCTGTTATAAGAATACAGTTTGGGTGATGAGTTGTGGAGACCTGGTGTGACAGCAGAAGTTGGAAGAAGCATAAGATGTGTGTGTGTGTGTGTGTGTGTGTGTGTGTGTGTGTGTGTGTGTGTGTGTGTGTGTATGAATGTGTGACTGTATGTGTGAGGGTATATATTTGTGAATGTGTGTATGTGTGTGTGAGTGTATGTGTAAGTAAGTAAATATGTGTGAATATGAGTGTGTGTGTGTGTGTGCGTGCAAGTGGGCACACATGCACACATATTGGGAGATGCAAGTAGCTTCTCTTCCTGACCTATTTTCTTGGAAAACCATTTTTCCTCTGGTCCCACAAGGAGGACGTGAAGAATGAGATCAACATCATGAACCAGCTCAGTCATGTGAACTTGATCCAACTTTACGATGCCTTTGAGAGCAAGAACAGCTTCACCCTGGTCATGGAGTAGTGAGTATCTCAGGGGTGGGTGCTAGCTGCTACCCAGGGCCTCATGGCAGGGACGGAGAAATTTCACTCTACACAAAACTCCCCATCTCTGCTCCTCACAGGCATGCCCAAGCCATGCCACCTTCTCTGGTTTAGTGCTTAAAACCTGAGCGTAGAAATTGGAGGACAAAGAATTTTTGTCACAAACCAGTAATCAGCATGTCTGATCTGATCTGAAGATATTATGCCAGTTTGGTCTAAATAGTTGTTAATGATTATGTATGAGCGATTAATTGATAGAAATTGGAAAACATAGACAGAAATTAGAAAATCTTTCTATCTGGCTTTCATGAAAACATAAACAATATAGATTGGACCCACATCTATGTCTGTAGAGGTGTACTGCAGCTCACTCTGTGTAGAAGTATACTGCAGCTCACTCTGTGCAGAGGTGTACTGCAGCTCACTCTGTGCAGAGGTGTACTGCAGCTCACTCTGTGCAGAGGTGTACTGAAGCTCACTCTGTGTAGCGGTGTACTGCAGCTCACTCTGTGTGTGGTGTACTGCAGTTCACTCTGTGTGGAGGTATACTACAGCTCACTCTGTGTAGAGGTGTACTGCAGCTCACTCTGTGCAGAGGTGTACTGCAGCTCACTCTGTGTGTGGGTGTACTGCAGCTCACTCTGTGCAGAGGTGTACTGCAGCTCACTCTGTGCAGAGGTGTACTGCAGCTCACTCTGTGCAGAGGTGTACTGCAGCTCACTCTGTGTAGAGGTGTACTGCAGCTCACTCTGTGTAGAGGTGTACTGCAGCTCACTCTGTGTAGAGGTGTACTGCAGCTCACTCTGTGTAGAGGTGTACTGCAGCTCACTCTGTGTAGAAGTGTACTTGTAGCTCACTCTGTGTGTGGGTGTACTGCAGCTCACTCTGTGTGTGGGTGTACTGCAGCTCACTCTGTGTGTGGGTGTACTCAGCTCATTCTGTGTGTGGGTGTACTGCAGCTCACTCTGTGTAGAGGTGTACTGCAGCTCACTCTGTGTAGAGGTGTACTGTAGCTCACTCTGTGTGTGGGTGTACTGAAGCTCACTCTGTGTGTGGTGTACTGCAGCTCACTCTATGCAGAGGTGTACTGCAGCTCACTCTGTGTAGAGGTGTACTGCAGCTCACTCTGTGCAGAGGTGTACTGCAGCTCACTCTGTGTGTGGTGTACTGCAGCTCACTCTGTGCAGAGGTGTACTGCAGCTCACTCTGTGCAGAGGTGTACTGCAGCTCACTCTGTGTAGAGGTGTACTGCTGCTCACTCTGTGTGTGGGTGTACTGCAGCTCACTCTGTGTGTGGGTGTACTCAGCTCATTCTGTGTGTGGGTGTACTGCAGCTCACTCTGTGTAGAGGTGTACTGCAGCTCACTCTGTGTGTGAGTGTACTGCAGCTCACTCTGTGTGTGGTGTACTGCAGCTCACTCTGTGCAGAGGTGTACTGCAGCTCACTCTGTGCAGAGGTGTACTGCAGCTCACTCTATGCAGAGGTGTACTGCAGCTCACTCTGTGTAGAGGTGTACTGCAGCTCACTCTGTGCAGAGGTGTACTGCAGCTCACTCTGTGTGTGGGTGTACTGAAGCTCACTCTGTGTGTGGGTGTACTGCAGCTCACTCTGTGTGTGGTGTACTGCAGCTCACTCTATGCAGAGGTGTACTGCAGCTCACTCTGTGCAGAGGTGTACTGCAGCTCACTCTGTGTGTGGGTGTACTGCAGCTCACTCTGTGTGTGGGTGTACTGCAGCTCACTCTGTGTGTGGTGTACTGCAGCTCACTCTGTGCAGAGGTGTACTGCAGCTCACTCTGTGTGTGGTGTACTGCAGCTCACTCTGTGTAGAGGTGTACTGCAGCTCACTCTGTGTGTGGTGTACTGCAGCTCACTCTGTGCAGAGGTGTACTGCAGCTCTTTCTGTGTGTGGGTGTACTGCAGCTCACTCTGTGTGTGGGTGTACTGCAGCTCACTCTCTGTGTGGTGTACTGCAGCTCACTCTGTGTTTGGACCTAATACATTCACTCTCTATACTGACGTACCACAACTTACTGGTGTACTGTAGCTCAGTCGAGTTGAGCCTTCTGTTTAGGCCAGAAACTAACTCTTGGCACTGAAGCCGCAGCCTAGGGGCCATTTATCTTTGTGCTTGTGTTGTTGTTTACCTCAGATAGGGATAATGAGAGTAAAACATTTGTCATAATAAAAGTAGGAAAAACAGTGGTCTCAGTGGTAGAGTGCTTGCCAGGCATGTCTGAGACCTGGGGTTCAATCACAGTACTGGCCAAAATATTTGGGAAAGCAGAGAAAACTTTTGCGTCACATTTGGTCTAATTTGCCTATTTAGACTTCTTTTTAGCTTTTCAGCTAATTAACTTATTAATTTGTTTTTTGAGACAGGGTTTCATGTAGCACATGTCTGGAATCATTGTGTAGCTGTGAATGATCCTCAACTCTTGACCGTCTTTTCTCCACTTCCCAAGTGCTAGGATAATAGCTGTGGGTCACCGTGCCATGCTCCTTAGGCTTCTTGCCATGTGAGTGCTACCTGGCACTCCCTGCAGCTGTATTTGTAACCCTCATTTAGATTATCCAGGTTCAAGGAAAACCTTCTGTGGCATATGTATCAGAACAAAGGACCCAAGCCAACTCCATGTAGCAGTGTCAGGAGCCCTTGGTAACCAGCCTTGGCATTCGGGGGCCTAGGCGACTTTAGGCATAGCGAGACTGACTGCCCCCAGGCCCTCTGAGAGCTGCACTCAGTTTGACCCTCGCTTCTTACTTTTGTCTGGCAGTGTGGATGGAGGGGAACTCTTTGACCGGATCACGGATGAGAAGTACCACCTGACGGAACTGGATGTGGTCCTGTTCACGAAGCAGATCTGTGAGGGTGTGCATTACCTGCACCAGCACTACATCCTGCACCTGGACCTCAAGGTCAGTGGTGTGCCGGGCCTCGGCAGGTCCCTCCTGAGCATCTTGTGCCCAGGTCACCGGGGCCTCTGGGGCTTCCCTTCCTGGCTCTGCCATTTCCAAGTTCTGGCATCTAGAACAGACCTGTTATTTTGCCTCTCTATTCCTGTTTGGGACTTATAGATAATTGTGCCTCTTTAAGTGTTGTTTGAATATTAAATAATACAGTAGCCTTTTTCTTTCAAAGTGTCTTAAAATTAATTTTTTGGTCTGGAGAGATGACTTAAGAGCACTTGCTGCTTTCCCCAGGGACCTAAGTTCAGTTCCTAACATCCACATTGGGTAGCTCACAACCATCTGTAACTATACCTCCAAGGGGTTTGATACCCTCCTCTGGTCTCCACAGGCACCCACATACACATGGCATACACTCACACAGACACACTTCCATAAAAATAAACCTTTAAAATTGCTTTTTAAAAACCTCAAGGGGCGGGCCTGTGAGATGCTTGGAAGAAATGTTGCCAAGCTTGATGATCTGAGTTTGACCCCCAGGTCCCACATAGTAAAAAGAGAGAACTGACTCCAGCAAGGGATCCCGTAACTTCCATACATATATCACAGCACATGAGTGCACACGCACCCCTGTCCCACCCCCCAGACACACCCATACCCATACACCCACACCTACACACACACACAAACACACACACACAGTCAAATAAACAATGTAATTTAAAAAATAAAGTTCAAGGGGAGAGTTCTAGAGGAAGTGGGGGAGGGGTAGGAAGTGAATATGATCAAAATACATTATAAACATGTATAAAATTGTGAAAGAATAGATAAAGATCCTTGGAGTGGCTGGAGAGATTGCCACACAATCATGAGGATCAGAGTTCAGGTCCCAGCATCCACATAACAAGCTGAGTGTCCCATACAGCACACCCTAGAGTAGTATGCCTATAACCCCAGCACTAAGATAAGTGGAAACAGGATTGCTGGGGTTACTGGCTCCCAGAATAGCTGGGGAAACAGGAGTCCCAGTTTCAGGGAGAGACCCTGCCTTAAATGAAGACAGGTAGAGTGATAGAGAAGGATATCCAATGCCCTCTTCCAGCTCAGTGCATGTGCTCAGGAGCATGCATACACTCACACACAAATAAGTACATAAAAGTATTATTTTTAAAGTTCAACGGGTTGAGGAGATGGCTCAGTGGGTAAAGCGCTTGCTGTGAAAACCTGAGGTCTTAGCTCAGAATTCCAGTACCTGGGTAAAGAGTATCATGTGGTATCTTGTGTCTGTAATCTCACTAGAGACAGAAGATTCTGGGGTCAGCCAGTTTAGCCAATAGGTGAGCTCCAGGTTCAGTGAAAGACCCTGTCTCAAAAATAAGGTGGAGAGCAGTAGAGGAGGACACTCATTGTTGACCTCCGGCTACTACACATACGATCATACACACCCACACACAGATATGTACATACATGCATATACCGCACATGTATACATGCATGCGCACACACAGTTTAAAAGCTTGTGGTAACAAGTATGGGCAACATAAAAATGTGTAAAATATGTTTTTCCCAACCAGTCTTCATGAACATAGGCCTTCTGTATGAGTGACTTAGCATTACACAGGAACACCTACAAAGGGTCATAGGATGCATCCTGATTTACATTGTGGTGTGTGAGTGTGTGTGTGCATAGATGTGCATATTCCATGATACACATATGCCACAATGCATTGTGTAGAAGTCAGAGAGCAACTTTCAGGAGTTAGTTCTGTCCTTCACCATGTAGTTTCCAGGGTCAAAGCTGGGCATCAGGCCAGGTGGCATATGCCTTGACCAGCTGAGCCATTTCATTAGGCTTGTGTCTTATTTCTTTTTCTTTTTTTGTTTTTCGAGACAGGGTTTCTCTGTGTAGTTTTGGAGTCTGTCCTGGATCTCACTCTGTAGACCAGGCTGGACTCGAACTCACAGAGATTCACCAGGTTCTGCCTCCCGAGTGCTGGGATTAAAGGCATGTGCCACCACCGCCTGGCTCTGAAAGACTTAAAAAGAAAAATTTGTCAAGGTCACAATTTCAACCCTATGGGTCATAGTTATTACTGCTGACTTGCAGACATTGCCCTCCCCAAGATTTTGTTTTTAATTCTTTGTGTGTGTGTGTGTGTGTGTGTGTGTGTGTGTGTATGTCCGTCTGTCTGTCTGTGTGAGAATGTGCAGGTGAGTGCAGTTTTCCATGGAGACAAAAAAGATGGTGTCAGATACACTAGAGTTATAGGTGGTTGTGAGCTGTCTAACATGGGTGCTGGGAAGAACTCAGGTCCTCTGCAAGAGCATCACATGCTCTTAACCACTGAGCCATTTCTCCAGCCCCCTATGCCAACAACTGTTCTGTTAGTGCAGCTCATTTATTTGTATTATGTCTAGCCCCGTATGACTACCCTAAGCCATTTGCTTCCCTTAGATTCTGAGAGAAGGAGGCCTATGAACAAATAAGTGTGAGAGTTGTAGGTTTCCTTAGCCAGGGTAAGGATAAAATGTCTCCCCCCTCCTTTTCTCTTCCAGCCAGAAAACATACTGTGTGTCAACCAGACGGGACATCAAATTAAGATCATTGACTTTGGGCTGGCTAGAAGGTAAGGCTCCTGATATTTTGACAAAATCCCTTCTTCAGTGGCACCTACAGCTCTCTGGAATGTGCTTACCTGTCTGAGATCTAGCCATTTTTTTAGTTTGGAGATGGATATAAGAAATTCTCACACAGAGACTGGTGGCCTCTGGCTTGCTGTTAATCCAGTGGGGTTATAGTACAGGCTCCATTTGTCCTAAAAGACTGTAGAATTAACTGTACTTCAAACCACCCGTGTGAGCAGAAGACCATAGTTACCGGGGACTGCTGAACAGGGTTCAAGGTGGACTGAATTCCATCAGTTCTCCATTCTGCTAGGGGCCAAGCTAGGCAGTACATTCACCGCCATCCTTGCACTCGGAGAAATCTCTAGCTTAATATGAAAACACGTATGTGAATTGGGTGGTGCCATAATAAGTAGATCTGGAACCATTGAAGACTAGATTGAAATTTAGTACAGTGGTGACATAATGACATTCTCGCTCATATGGAGAGAGTCACGAGGCCTAAATGGGATCTTATATGGGTAGTGCAAACTCCGTTAGGTCCTCAAGTTTCAATACATTAAATGGATATTGTTTACAATTTAAATTTTTGTTACATTTATTTATGTGGGAGCAAGGAGGCACAGTGCATGCTGTAGATTCTGTGTGGAGATCAGAGGACAGCTTCCGGAAGCTGGTTCTTTTCTTCCTATGTATGGGTCCTAGGAGCCAAACTCAGGTCATCAGGCCTGGCAGCAAGCACATTCACCCAGAATATCTCACTGGCTCTTATATATAATCTTTTAAAAAGATTGATTTATTCTTATTGTAAGTATATGGTGTTTTATTGCATGTGTGTCTGCATAAAATCTGTGGAAGCCCACAGAGATCAGAAAAGGATGTCAGATCCCCTGGAACTGGAGTTACATATAGTTGTGAATTTCCATATAGGTGCTGGGAACTAAACCTAGGTCCTCTGAAAGAGCAGCCTGTGCTCTTCACCACCTAGTATTTCTCTAGCCCTCTTCATATGTAATTTTAAAAATATCTTAAAATCCACAGAGCCTAAAGTACACACAGTTTTACTTCCCAGTCTTGACAGTCTCAAGCCCAGGATGGGCACAGCTGGCAGCATGGATTCCCAGAAGAGACTGCAGAAATCTGTGGTGTTTAGGAAGACTGCCCACCAAACCTCCGGTCTCAATTAGGATGCTAACTAAAACTGATTCTCTAGTTGTGTGCCATCCTCCAAGCTTCCCTCCAATTTTCTTTCCTCCAAGAATGACTCTTCTTTGGGAATCACATATTTTCTGGGTAGTTCTGAGTATAGTAACTGTCTTAGTCAGGGTTTCTAAGCTGCGAAGAGACACCATGATCATGTCAACTCCTATAAGGAAAACATTTAATTGGGGCTGGCTCACAGGTTCAGAGGTTCAGTCCATTATCATCATGGTGGGAAACATGGCAGCACACAGGCAGACACGGTGCTGGAGAAGCAGCTGAGAGCCCTACATCTTACAGGCAACAGGAAGTGGTCTCTGACACCTCAAACTTGTTCTGCAGTGAGGATGACCTTGACCTTTGAAGTCTTGATCTTCCTGCCTTCCCCTCTTTAGTGTCGGGATTATAGCAAGTGCCACCACAAAGCTTTGTTTATCGGTTTGTTAATGAGACAAGGTCTTATTATGTAGTCCTTGGCTGGTCTCCAACTTGTGATCTTCCTTCTTCAGCCTCCTGAGTGCTAAGATTATGTGTGTGTGCCTTTGCAGCCGGATTTTCTGTCATCTTGATGGCGTTTCCCATAAGGGGCTGTCTTTGTTGCTTTCTGAGCTGCCAAGTATCCTCCCCTTCCTCACCATCCACATGGAAGCAGAGCTACTCGCCTGCAGTTAGCCTCTGGCTTCTGCTCCTGCTTCCAGGCAACATCCAGAACCACAGTGGCAGTCTTTTCGGGTCACTCCTCCACTGGTTAAAGTGTTACCTATTTGCAGGAGTGAAAGATACATTTTATTGCCCCCACATGCTGTTGCTATAACAGAAGTTTGTCACCCCACCACCTTCAATGAACAATATGAAACCCCTCTACACACACAGTTGAAAATCACATTCTGTCTATGATGTAGAAAACCTGTGCCGGGCTGTAACTAGAGTTTTTCTAGTCTTGCCTGGCCCACGGTCAGGACAAATCTCTCTCACCCACCAGTCCCACAGCCGCTTAGACCCAACTGAGTAAACACACAGAGACTTATATTGCTTACAAACTGTATGGCTGCAGCAGGCTTCTTATCTAGTTCTTATATCTTAAATTAACTCATTTCTATTAGTCTATAAGTTGCCACATGGCTCGTGGTTTACCAGTATCTTACATGTTGGTACTCATGGCAGCAGCTGGAATCGTCTCTCTGACTCAGCCTTCCACTTCCCAGAATTCTCTTCTCTGATTGTCCCGCCTATACTTCCTGCCTGGCTACTGGCCAATCAGCATTTTATTTATACAGAGCAATATCCACAGCACCGGGCAGTGGTGGCGCATGCCTTTAATTCCAGCACTTGGGAGGCAGAGTCAGGCAGATCTCTGTGAGGCCAGCCTTGGCTACAGAGTGAGTTCCAGGAAAGTCTCCAAAGCTACACAGAGAAACCTGTCTCAATAAGAAAGAAAGAAAGAAAGAAAAAGAAAGAAAGAAAGAAAGAAAGAAAGAAAGAAAGAAAGAAAGAAAGAAAGAAAGGAAGGAAGGAAGGAAGGAAGGAAGAAAGAAAGAAAGAAGGAAGGAAGGAAGGAAGGAAGGAAGGAAGGAAGGAAGGAAGGAAGGAAGGAAGGAAAGAAGGAAGGAAGGAAGGAAGTAGATGTAACCAACCTTCTTATTAAATAAGAAACACAGAACCAATGCAAAGAAGAAAGCCAAGAGGTCAGAGCTAAGAGCTAAAACCTTACCCTTCCTCCTGCAGTGGTCCTACCTCTCCGAACCAGCTACCCCTGTGTTAAAGTCTTTATATAGAGTTCCTGTTCTGCCTTCTCATTGGTTGTAAACCCAACCACATGACCGCCTCGTCATGACCTGTCTGTATAGGCCTCCAGGTTTTCCATGATTGGTATTGAGATTAAAGGCATGTGTATCCAATACTGGCTGTATCCCTGAGCACATAGAGACTTACCCAGCTCTGCCTACCAAGTGCTGGGATTACAAGCATACGCCACCACTGCCCTGCTTTCCTATGGCTTGCTAATAGCTCTGACCCCTGGGCAACTTTATTTATTAACATACAAATAACATTTTAATACAAATAAAATATCACCATAGAAGGAAGAAAAAAAACCTGCTTCATAGGTTCCTAAATAATGTCTCCTAAAGTTGAGATTATTTTGCACGTATTGTGCGTCTTCTACAAGAGAGTGGTGCTTTTCAACCTGTTTCTCATTATCACCATTTGGCTCCAGCAGGCCTTTTTAGACCTTTTCCATACTCACATTGTCCTCCATTCAGTGGAGTGCAGTGCCAAAGAAGCACTGTGTATCTGGAAAAGCCGTAATAGCTAAATATTTTTTGATTCTCCAAAGCTCCCGCTTTGGATCCTTGTGGCATAACATTGTACTTAGTGGAATGCACATACAAGATTTGCAGGACACACTTGAATGTCAGTTGTCATATGAGCACTTAACAGGGAGACACTGAATTCAGAGCAAGAAGATGCTAGAAGCTTCACTAGAAGCTCCTGGTATGAGGGAAGTTTCTCTCATGGACAGGACTTGTCAGGCGCAGGGAGTGATATGCTGGCGAATGTTCAACTACCAGTTCAGAAGAGGAGGGAATTGAGGACAGAGGGTTGACTTGTAATATTTTCCAGTTTTTACAAATTGATAAACACAATTATCTCTGGTGCTCTCGGAGAGCCAGAGCCAGTGTGAACAGGAGCTGTAGAGGGAAGTCAGGGGTGATGGCATTAGTTATGGCCTGAGAACAAATGTGTGAGTGTGAGCATGCTAAACTAAGGAGAACACAATAGAAGATGAGAACAGATGAGAACACACACACACACACACACACACACACACACACACACACACACACACAAAAGAAAAAAAAAGATGAGAACACCAAAGAAGGAACTGGAATGTTAGGCTCAAAAGTTTGAAAGGCCACTGAATCTTACCACTCAGTAACTTCATTATGGTACCTTAACGCTAGCCTGGGAAAATCAGTATTGTATCACCCAAATTGGCAATTATTGCAGATCAAGTCTTAAAAAAATCTGGACAGCTAATTTTGAATATTTACCTATGAACCACTATTTGAGATAATTGAGCTGGCTCAGCATATATATATATGTGTATATATATATATATACATATATATATATGTATATATATGTGTGTGTGGTGTGTGTGTTTGTGTGTGTGTGTGGTATGTGTGTTTTGCCTGCATGTATGTATGTGCACATGTGCACAGTGTCCACAGAAGCCAGAAGAAGGCATTGGATCCCTTGGAACTGGGGTTACAAATAGCTGTGAGCCACCATATGGGTTCTGGGAATATGGGTCTTCTGCCAGAGCAGCAGTCTCTTAACCACTGAGCCATCTCTCCAGCCCTTCAGTGAGGTCAGATATGCACACTGTGTCTCTTGTTCTCGTGGCAGTAACACAGGAGCAGTTATAGCCTGGCTTGGAATCGACCCTGTGTAACTTTTCCCTCACATCTCATTGACTAAAGCAACTCCGATGGCCAGTCCCAGCATTAGTGGAATGGAGCAAGGTATTTCCACTTGTAGTGGAAGGAATATCACATCTCAGGATGCAGGGGATGGAAATGGGATACAGGAAAGCACACATGTCTCCTGGAGCCCTACTTTTAATTCTTTTGAATACATGCTCAAAAGCATTGCTAGATCACATAATTCTATTTTTAATGTTTTGATTAGCTATCTCTCTGGGTTTTGTTTTGTTGAGACAGAGTCTGTCATCCATGTTTGCCTAAGCTCATTGTAACTTATCCTGGTCTCTCTCATCTCAGTCCTCACGTGTTAGCCTTCGGGGCATGAGAATCACAGTTCAAGACACCAACAGTGTCTGCTCCACTTCACATTCCTTACATTCCATAAAGGATCGGAATTCTCTACATTCTAGTCAACACTTGCTATAGTTTTTCTCCCTCTCCTGTACGTATGTGTGTGTGTGTGTGTGTGTGTGTGTGTGTGTTTTAGTACTGTAGACATTTATATGGGTGCATATGGAACCACATTGTACTTTCGGTTTGTATTTCTCTAATGATTGCTGATGATGACTATGGTGTCTTTTCCTTACTATGATTCCTCTAGAACATTGTGCACACCAACAGAGCGCTCACTCTTCCGAAGCTCTGTCCCATTTGTTCACACTCATTCATGTGGCTGCATGCCAAGTAAGATATATTGGTCTCCTCTCATCTTCAGATTGTAAGTGGCTAGAAGGACTGTAGTTTTCTGGTCTACCACTAACTTAAAAAGGCTGGAAGGCATGTCTGAGGGTCCAGTTATTCCCTAGGAAACTTTGTAGTATGAGTGTTGAGTTCAGGCAACATACTTGATAGGTAGGGTGGGGAAATGTTGCCTTTTAGAATCAGCATCTGCCCCCACACATTCTCTCCCATGGTGATTGCCTTCTCTCCTTTTTTCTCAGGTACAAGCCTCGGGAGAAGCTAAAGGTGAACTTTGGTACTCCAGAGTTCCTGGCCCCAGAAGTTGTTAACTATGAATTTGTCTCATTCCCAACAGACATGTGGAGTGTGGGAGTTATCACCTACATGCTGTGAGTACTCAGGGGCCTCGTTCTGGGCGGGGCTTGGGTTAGCCATCTTACATTGGTACTTTTAGAAGCAGAAAATCACAATTTGGGAAGTGTTCTCAGGAACATTCACAGAGAAGCAGGGCTGAGACTGAAGAAAGGCAGTCAGCTAGGGTGTGTGCCACAACTGAATCTTACTTCTAGACACTGAAGGAAAGTGAGGACATAGCTGCTCCTAGGTATGGTTGAGGAGGTGTTAGTGCAGATATGAGGGAGTGAACATCCAGAGTTGATTCATGCCTTTGAGTCATAGCAAAAGCTTGGGGATCCAAAGAAATGACTCTGGGTTAAAAGCATTAATACTCTTCCCTCTGTCCAGAGGGCTGGGTGTACAGATTGAACAGAGATGATTTCAGCATGATGAGAAGCACTTTTAAGTCTATACTTAGAAGACAACCAAAGGGAATCTAGAATTGTGAGCTGCGCTCACCAGAGCTAGATTACTAGCTTGGCAGAACTCCATTGATTCATGTTAGAACTCTGAACTTTTGAAGTCTTAGTGTGACAATAGCATAGACAGGAAAAGACGTCGGAAACATTTCTCACTTTTTGCATATGTCAGACCTTTACAGCTTGCATTGACTTTCTTAGACTCACAACTTACATAAATTTTAAACATTTTCTTTTTCCATCTAATCATTTACCGTGAGACACAGGTGGTTGATTACTGACAGCAGTCATTGCAAAGCAAGTTCCTTTAAATAAAGGAAAAGTTAAAAAAAAAAAAAAGTATACTGAAGCCTGCTTTGTGAGTTTATATCTTTCAGTGTGAAGTCTGTCAGCAAGGTAAACTGTGTCTGCCTTTCTCAGCTGGAGACCTAGTAGCTCTAGAAAAATGAAGCCTAGTTTTACATATGAAATGAGTGGGGCAGGCAGCTACAGCCTCAGGGGGAGGAGCTGGGTGCTTGCTGCTGTTAACATAAGGCCACAGTTAGCTGCCAATATTATCAGAGATCTGAGAAGGATAAATTCTAGCAGGAAGTATAATCCAAATGACCTATGTATCAATTAAAATGATAATGACTTACCTCTACCTGGATGGTTTCCCTAGCCTCCCTTGGTCTTGATGGCTTCATTGGGGGCAGTGGTCATAGGTCACATAAGTCAGCATAGCATCTTTAGCTGCTAGACCCAGAAGGTCTCAGAGATTTTCCTGTGGAGGAGGAGCCTGAGAAAACTGATACACCCTGTCAAGGCAGAGTAGGGTAATCAACCCAACAGGGTCCACAGTTTGGACAAGGTCTTGGCAGCAGGTGAGGCATGGGGCAGTTATTTTATCACAGTGACCACAATCCATGTGGAGTTGTCTATGCCCCATTGTCTTCTTTGGAGACTGTAGGGTCATTGCTAGGAGCTGGCATTTCTATCATGGGAAGCTTTTTTCATTAAACACTTTAAATGCCACATTCAATAGATTTCTGAAGAATTCGAGGACCATTATCTATTTGTATACCTGATCTAAACAAACCTTACTTGTTTTTAGTTACTTGCTTTAGGCTTGACCTTAAAAACATACACAGGAGGCTAAATAAAGCTTGTCACTAAATGAGTTACATTTGTACTTAGCATGACTATGAGCCTAGTTCTGAGCACATTAAAGAATTTGATCATTTTTATAAGGTGACTGACCTAACTTGCATGTCTTAATTATTTTTAACAGTTTACAAGTCAGTAGCTCTCATAAGATTAGGATTTTAGTTTTATTCCTATTAAGTTTGAGCCTTAAAAATTTGAGTTGAAGATTCTTTTACCATCAAAATAAAACTTTAGACCATAAATACAGTTTATAGAGAGACTGGAAACTTTAAATGAAATCCACAAAGGGATTGGGGACCTTATTTTCTTGATCCTTTTATAGTGCATGATTACAGAATATCACAGTTTCTTGTATGGCTCAGTTTATCCAAATAGCTAAAGCTTAACCAAGTTAACAAAGACAAAGAGGCTAGACATAACATATAGTCAGTTACTATCAACCCAAGTAGATCATGGGAATTTATAAATCTTATTTATTGAACATGTTATTCCTAATTTAAATTTTCTAGAAGCCTGGTGTTGAACACAATTAGCAAAGACATACATAGTTACACATACATCTCTAAACAAGTTTCTGTTAAGCTGAGTAGACCTTTATAACCTTAGGAATTTATCATCCATCCTAAACCGAGATGTTTTGGAGACCTGTTGTTGCCTCCTTAGTCTAAAAGGAGATACAATGATAATGAGAGGGCCTAGTAGGACTAAGAAGTTTTATGATTGTTGCTTTAGTTATTTTATACCACGTGGTCGGTCATCTTACTCAAGATGGTGGTGAAGTTACATGCTATGTACCCTGTAACCTTAGTAAAGATGGCTGCCAGCCATGTGGTTGCTTCTGTCCTAATGAGATCATCAGCCAAGATGGAGGCAAGCCTCATGTTGCTGTTTAAAACATCTATTTTCCTAAACACGAGTTCAATTCAAGTTACATATATAGTAAGTAGATCTATTTTTCTAAATAAGTGTTGAATCACTTATAGCAAATTAATATTAAACCTTTTGTTACAAGTTTTAAGCTTATTTTTTGTTGCAGACTTTACAGATTCTTTAACCACACCCAATGAATTTACAAATCCTGAGATAAAGAGTGTTTATACAATAGTCTTAGAAGATTTCTTGAGAGCAGAATTCAGAGAAATGGTAGAAATAAAGGATTTTGAAGAGTGAAAAGTAGAGACTTTGGGGATTATAGAGCAGAGAAAGCTTAGATATAGAGATTTGGGGATCATTTGTTTGTATGGTGGCAGAAGCTGTTATGTTTTGGGAGAATTTGAAAATTGAGTGTACCAATTTTTGGCCTTTGAACTGTACTAAGTGATGGTTTTTAGCAGCTCTCTTACCCTGCAAGGAAAAGTCACAAAACACGACAGAACCCACTAGCAAGAGTTTTATTGAGGAAGGGAGAAGGGATAGTTGTGTTCAGGCCTGATAAAAGGACATGTGAGGAAAGGGACGGGGCAGGGTGGGGTGGAAATAGGGTCCAACTTTTTAAGGACCACCCACCCATATGCACACAGGCCCACATGGCTACTCTACACATGTGCATAGATCATATGGTCACGCTATCTATGTGACCACTCAGTGCATGGGTTATGTAGGATGGCTAGACTGGAAATGGCTAGACAGAAATGACTAAGTGTCCCGCTGGTGTATGTGTGATCATGAGGTCGTGGCTGGAATTCCTATCATCCTGGACTCTTTGTTTTCATAAAAGATGGTGGATGAGTGGGTTTCTCCCAAAAACTGCTTCCAGCTGACTTGGTTGGTGTCAGTTGGCTTTTGGAGGGGATAGGGAAGGGGGCTTCTGAAGTAGACAGGTGTTCTGGGATGGTGGGGCTGTCGTCTGCTGCCCTGGAGTTGTCAATTTTTCCTGGCTTGGAACTCTGTAGCTAGAGTTTACCTGCCTGGCCCACAGTCAGGACAAATCTCTGTCACCCACCAGTCCCACAGCCGCTCAGACCCAACCAAGTAAACACAGAGACTTATATTGCTTACAAACTGTATGGCCATGCCAGGCTTCTTGCTAACTGTTCTTATATCTTAAATTAGTCCATTTCTATAAATCTATACCTTGCCACGTGGCTCGTGGCTTACCGGCATCTTCACATGCTGCTTGTCATGGCGGCAGCTGGCAGTGTCTCTTCCTGTTCTCTCAATTTTCCTCTCTGTTAGTCCCGCCTATACTTCCTGCCTGGCCACTGCCAATCAGTGATTTATTCATTGACCAATCAGCAACACATTTGACATACAGACCATCCCACAGCAAGGCACTTGTTTCCTTTATTAGTTTAGCATTTAGGAGACACAGGTGATCAATTGCTGAGAGTGATAGACTGTTATATTAAAGTCTGTTTTTGCAGAGCCCAGACACTTTTGGGTCTGGGAGTGTAAATACCTTTTGATTGTTACTTTTTTTTCCCCTTACCATCTGGATACATCTGATGGTCCTTTGTCTCCAGCTCTGTGGTGATCCCATAACAATTAGCTGAGTAGTTAATTAGGAAAGGGAGAGCTTGTGGGATGATACCTCATTCCTCTGGAATTGGTGACAAGGCAGTGGATCCTGGTGTCCTCTGGAGCTTGAGAGAACAGGGCTCTGTCTGTGTCACTGTATATGAAGAGAGATTTTTCTGGGATGGAGATAAGATAAAAGACTCAGCCTTCCTGTTCTCTCAATTCTCCTCTCTGTTAGTCCTGCCAATACTTCCTGCCTGGCTACTGGCCAATCAGTGTTTTATTTATTGACCAATCAGAGCAACACATTTGACATACAGACCATCCCACAGCAGAACTCTTTGGCTATTCATGTCTGACAGGATACTGGTGAGACAGAAAAGCTTAGGAAAAAGAATCATTATTATTTTACTTTTTTCTTTGGAGTGTTCCCAGACCAGGAAAATTTGGGTTTGGCACTTATCTGAAGTAGATTCAACCTGTCCAGAAGGGATTAATCTGGTTTCTGGAGCTTGGGAAAAATTTTAAACATATTAAGAAACAGCCAGGCTGGAGAGATGGCTCAGTGATTAAGAGCACTGGCTGCTCTTCTAGAGGTCCTGAGTTCAATTTCCAGTATGGTGGCTCATAATCATCAATAATGAGATCTGGTCTGTAGATGTAACCAACCGTCTTATTAAATAAGAAACACAGAACCAATGCAAAGAAGAAAGCCAAGAGGTCAGAGCTAAGAGCTAAAACCTTACCCTTCCTCCTGCGGTGGTCCTACCTCTCTGAAAGAGAGCTACTTCCTGTGTTTTATAAAGTCTTTATAAAGACTTTCGGTTCTGCCTTCTCATTGGTTGTAAACCCAACCACATGACCGCCTCGTCACTGCCTTTCTGTACAGACCTCCAGGTCTTCTATGGTTGGTATTGAGATTAAAGGCGTGTGTCTCCAATGCTGGCTGTATCCCTGAACACACAGAGACT